AACTCTAGCATAAAAGGATTTTAATTTAGAAATAAAAATTCTTAGCTGGAACCCACTGATTTACTTTCTCATCCAACATGAGCCCAGGGTTTTAGATATTGAATCTAGACGTGGTAGAGGGGTGGGGAATAGTGGGGGGGGAGAGTGGGGGAGGACACAGTCAGGAAAATAAAACTGATAGTGGGTCCTCTAGACCAGGCACACAGTGCACGCAGATCCATGCAGGGAGATGTGAGTCAGCACAGCTTGTTCGTGGAATGTGGAGCTCCCCAAGTCGGAAGTCAGAGAACGTGGGAGGTGTGATGGAGTTAGGATCTAGAGGGTTAGGCCTGTGCTGGGGAAAGGAGCTCCAACCTGCCATTTAATGTACATTTGATCTGACATCTACAGACTTCCGAGACATCATGCCAACAGAGGGGTCGGGGGGGTGGGTGGAGGATCACAGTCCTCATCAAGCCTATATCCTACCCTTACCAAGTTTTCTAACACACATGTGAAAGAGAACATTTAAAGCACCTGGTAATCATCCAGACATGAGGCCTCTCAACTCTGACCATTGTGATAACTTGCATCTTGCACCCAATCTAGATTTCAAATGTTCAGTGGTTTTTTAAGGTATGGCCCAGGAGGTGGCTCTGGCAGAAGCTGCTATATCCACACCCTTTGCTATGGAGAGGCTAACGATGGGGATCCCCAGGCAGCTTTCCACAGATGCTCACACACAGGCCGACCTGATTTCAGAACTAATTTTTATGCACTGCAAAGACTGACTTCGGGAGACACGTAGACCAGGTCCAGATCCTGATTTTCTCATTGCTTAGCTTTATGATCCTGGGGAAATTATTAACTTCTATTAACCTTAAATTTGCTCATGTGTAAACTGGTCTTAGTAATGTCTCCCTGGCTGTGCGGCCTCACCAGAGTGTGCAAACATAGCATGTGAAGTAAGGCAGACAAAGTGCGGAACACTTAGGAGGAATTAAAGCCCCGTTACACTGTTATTCTAAATAGAATTGCTTAACAATTTTGAGCCATCCTCTCTCGAAAGTATCCGAATAGAGGGACCCGCAGGCAATATGTGCAGCAAAAGGCAAACATGCATTAGGACTGGTAGGACTTAACAGTTGTTTGATCCGACTCCTTCATTTCAGACACCGAGATCGTCACAGTGCATCAACAACCTTCCCAAGAGCCCCGGCCAGACGCATCAGTTTTGATGAATGAGGACAGCTTTCCTTTTGAATTAAAAAGGTCATCATTGGCCCCAAATGTAAAACCCTGTTGCATGAATGACTCTTGCATTCTGGCCTGTCAAGTAATGCGGCCCTCTCCCTTCCCTCCCACCGGCAAAGACACATGGCCATGCTTCAGCTGATTTCTGGCATATAAGCTAACCAACCACCAACTGAAGGTTTATCTAAGACCACCTCAAACGACGTCACATTACTTTGTTTTGTAACAAACGGGCACTGAAGTAATAGAGCAATGTGGTGAAAGAAAACGGAGTACCACTAAGGAGGAAAAGGGTTTGGGAAGAGGATCAGCAAAACAAGAAAACTTCAGTTTAGAATGGGGGTGAGGTCACGCTTATGAAACCCAATTTTCTCAATTCTGTACCCTGTGTTGGAAATTGTTCATCTCAGTTTTCATTTACATTTTCCAGGTGTGGACATAACGAATCTGGCTTGTACACGGCGTCTATATGAAGAGTAAGGGAAGGGAGGTCATTGGGACTGTCCCTGAGAAACCCACCCAGCTGTGCGAACACCCCCCGCAGCTGTAATGCAGTGCCCCACGAATACGGCCCGGCTGGGAAGCCAGCCCATCTGTATTTATAATGCTGCCTATTGACTGGTTTGTGCACAAGCTTAGGTACGGCAAGGTATATTGCATCTCATTATGTGACCGTTTTTATGAATATGATTGGCATGCTCGTATATTTTAGGGGAAGTTCTGCCTCTAATGAGGGACCAGAAAAAGGAGTCTTTGATTTCTCCCCCAAGGCTGCTGTTAGAACCTAACATGAAGCAAAAATCAGATAAGAAGCTTGGAGACCATTCAAAGTGACTTGTCAAAATAAAGGCTCTTCATGATCAAGTAACACCTGATTATTGTTAAAAATAATGCATTGTGACCCATTAGTATCCCAGGCATCCCTCTTTCTTCTGAATGCAAGTTCTGCAACTATAATAGTCTTCCACCACAGCTAGTACTTAAAGATGCCCTTTGGTAACCTATGGGGTGGGGGTGGGGGCTGATCTGTTTGGGAGCAGACACAGACCTCACCGCCGGCCGCGTGAGCCCCCCACCTGCGGCCCTGAAGGCTGCACAGCTTGACAGGCATCTGACTCTCCAGCTGTAGCCTATCTAGGCCAGTGTCCCGAGCACTGCAAACTCCTGGCTTCACTTTAACCAACTATCAAGTCACGTGTTCTCCTCGTGTCAAAGGAGTTGATATTACATGTAAAACGGGTTTTTCATTTAACACTGGCCTATCATATCTACATTTGAAATTAACTAACCCCCTCAGCATAAACCCAAAGTAAGTGTAGCTGTTTAATATCCTGAAAATCTGGAATGTGGGGATTTGCAGAGTTTTTATTACTGGTGGCTAATCACGTTCTCTGCACAGATTCATAATATCTATGCTGTATGTAGCTGGCCTTCTAACCTGACTTCAATTTTAATTACAAATTTTAAAACCTGTAATTGGATAAGCATTCATTTTTTCTCGTTCCCATGTTGATCAGATCATGAGAAAATTTACATACACACACACACCATACACACAACAGCAACCAAGTATTAGAAAAATGGAAATAATTGTTTTTCCTTGACCACGTTCATAGGTATACATGTGATATATATATATATATATATACATACTGAATACCACGGAGCATCGCTGGTAAATAATCCATGTTCAAGGCCACAGTCTCAAATGACATGAAATCTTATTTCAAAACACAGCAAGAACAATCGCAAAAGGAAACTCTCCAGATAATCCAGAAACTTAAGCAACTTTGTTACGGGAAAGGAGGTTTCTCTTTCTCTATACATGCATATAAATGCTAATGTATGGTAGATAAATGATAAACCACAGCCCTATATTTAATGAATAAAGTGTGCAGAAAATGGAAAGCTGGGGGAATTGTGCAACATTAATGGTTTTTTTTCCTTAGAGGCTCTTCTCACAGGTCTGAAGCCCAGCAAGATGCACCTAGTACAGAAGTAATCTCTGCAGCTAGTCTATTGTTCAATGAATTAACACATTTTATTCAGCATAATAAAAACATTCCCCGTTATTCTTTAAGACCATTGACCCCAAATTATTCAGCAAGCAGTGTCCCTACCATTGAAACGGTGACTGGAAACAGGGACATTCAACTGTCCCTGATGAAATAGTAAACCTCATTATCACAAAGTTTTATTTTCAGTGTTCAGAATTAGCTTTTTTGCTGCATCAGTAATGGTAAGCGTGAGCCTTAAATCCATGCCATTTACGTTTTATGAGGAACATTATAACATATCAACCATAATTCAAGTAATTTACAGAAAATGCCATTCTACAATTTATATTTTTTCCTTGCTCTTAAGAAAAGGCGCTACATAAGGAAGCCCAAATCCTACTCTATTTCATCCTTATTCCCTCTTCCACCCCGGTGGGTCTTCAAAAATATTCACTTCTTTCAGAGGTAAATGTGCTAAATGACAAGGAGGGCTCGGCCCCAGCTACCCGCGCATCACTGGGCAACACTGACCTCTAGCGGCCGGGAACAGCCGAGCGCAGCCCGAGCCTAACTTCCCTCAACCCAAACCACCGAGGTGTTTTTCTAAAGCACCGTGGGAGCGATTTCACTTCCGAAAGAGGAGGAGGGGAGCGGGAGGGGGGAGAGGAACAGTGGGTTCAAAGCTGTCCGTACCTCGCCTCTGAAAGACCTCCACACCGGGGTCCTCGGCTGCGGCCTCAGAGAGGCTGCCCTCCCCGCCTCCTTCAGAACACGGGGATCCTGGCAAGGCCGTGCCGCCAGCTGTAAGTCCGGATCCCCAAACTCCCATCCCGGCAACACTGGCCACGCACCGTGTTCAGGAAATACCGTCTGCCTGAGTGACTTCGCCCTGCTCGCGCCTCCCTCCCTCGGGGTCCCCTCGGACCCGGCAGGTGCAGGATGGGGCAAAGGCACACACGACACGGCAGGGCGGCGACCCCGGGGGCTTGGGGAACCCGGACAAACCATCTCTGGAAACAACACAGATGGCTTAATGGCATCCTTTCTCATCTGGGAGTTTCCAGGGCTGGAAAAAACTTCCATTTCCCTGCCTAGAGAGGCAGCCGAGCAGCTGAGCCTGAAGCTCGGGTGGCTCCTGCGATGGATTCAAGTTTGACGAACCGGACTCTTCAAAACCCAGGGCAGGTGGCGGACCCCCAGGTGCCCAGCCTTCCTGCCTCTAAATTAAATGCCCTGCCCGTGCCGAGCCCAGGGCTTGGACGCCCGGGCAGAGGCACATCCCCCGTGCGTCTCGGCAGGCGGATTTGGGGGGTGGGGGTGCGCATCGGAGCGTCCTCCCGAAACACGGGCAGCCGTGGATCTCGTGGCTGGGCCACCCTGGGCCACGGCGCTCGGGCCAGAAACTCGCAACCCTATGAACCGACACCCACCGGCTACGAGACACCCCCACGGGAGCCGTCCGCCGCGGGAGCGGGAAGGCCGCGCGCCCCAGGCTCCGGCGCGCCGCACAAGCCGGCAGCCGCGTCCGGACCAGCGCGGCCCCCGCCGCGGAGGCCGGACCCTCCCTGCGCGCTCGGCCCCCGGACAAACACCCGGTCGGGCGCTCCGGAGCCGGCGGGGCCAGCGGGGCAAACACCCGGCCGAGCTCCGGGGCCGCGGGCGGGCGGACACCCGGCGCGCCGGCTCGGCAGGGCCCCGCTAACTTCTGGGACGCGCACGGGCTGCCCCGCGGTGCCCAGCGCGGACCCCGTCCCCGTCCCCGGTACTCACAGCTCGTCGCGGCGAGCGCCAGGTGCCACAGGCCGGAGAGCAGCAGGGCGAGGACGCTGGCCGGCCGCGCCCCGGGACCCATGGCCCCCGAGGACGCGGTCCCCCCGGCGGAAGGCCGACTCCGCAGGCGCCCGCCGCCGCCTCACTCCATCCCGCGCCGCGGCCGGTCCCGCCCGGAGCCTCAGTCCCCGCAGCCGCGCCCGCCGTCCCCGCGCGCCTCCCCAGGTGCGAAGCCGACCCGGCTGCTGCGGCCGCGGGCGCCGGGCTCGGCGGGAGCCTCCCTCCGCGTCGGACGCCGGAGCTGGACGCGACTCCGGGCGGCGGGCGGCTCCTTATAGGCGGCGGGCGCGCGGCACCGCCCCCGGCCAGGCCCGCCCCGCGCTCCTCCCCCGGCCTGGCCTCCCCACGCCCGCCGCCCGCACGCTTCTCCCCGCGCCCGCCTGGCCTCGCGGCCACGCCCCCCGCGCGCTCCCCTCCCCCTCCCCGTGCCCCCTTCCCCCCCGCGCCCTCCCACCTTGCTCCCCACCCCGCGCTCCCTCCACCCCGCACTCACCTCCCCGTGCCCGCCTCCCCCGGCCTCCTCGGTTAGCGGCCTGGGCGGGTCCTGCTGGCGGGCGTCTACCTCCGGCGCAGCGCCGCGCCGGGCACCTGGGGCCGGGAGCCCCCCTCCGTCCCCCCCCCGTCACCCTCCTTTGGGGGACCGGAGGAGATACCGACAGGCACCGCGGAGGTGCCGAGAGCGCCGCCGGGGGGCTGCTAACCGGAGTCGGGCGACCACGCGCTGGCTGGAGGAATTCGCGGGGGGGCGCCTTGCAGCGCGCTGGGGGAGAAGACGGGGCACGAATTCCTGAATGAGGGCATCGCGCCGCCCGCGCCTGCCCCCCAGTGTGGGACGGGGGCTTCCGACTGAGCGGCCCCGTTCTGCCCGCTCCCCTGCTCCCCGTGCGCACAGGCCCGGCCCCACGCCCGCGCCTCCCTCCCGGCTGCGGGCTCGCGGCTGCCGGCAGGGCCGGTCAGGCGTTCCGCGCTCCAGCTGCGGAGCCCAGGAGGGTCCCCGGAGCCGGAGCGAGAGACCCACAAACTGGGCCTGGTGGGAATGAGAGGCCGGGCAGGTGCCGGTGCCTCTAGAATTGGAAATCTGAGGGCTCCGCAGGAAGAATTCAGTTGCAAAGGGAGGGAAGAGTAAGTCGGGTTTCCTCGGGGGGGCGCTCTGCTGGAAACCCCGCTTCTGTCCTTGGCTACTCGTTCACATCTGGGGGCTCCCCTGCTTTGCAGTAAATCGGTTTCCTCTGTTTTTATTGGAAAGCCGTCAGAAAGATGCCAAACCTTAACCTAACCAAACGAAGGGCCTGCTGTTCTCTCTCCGGGGAAGCTTACAGTGGGGGTAGAGCCACCTCGGAGGGAGCTGTGCCCCCCTTTCCCTCCCTGCTTCCCCGAGGTGGCCAACAGGCAGACCCACTTTGCACTACAGGTCCTGACGCGCCCTGGTCCTCAGGCCGAGCTGCCGCTCAGAAAGCTTCCGCGTGAATCCTGAGGTTCCCCTCGGGGGTCGGTTGCCCTGGGCTCACGTCTTTGGGATCCCAACTGTTGAATGGCAAGTGGACCAGTGACACCATTATTTTACTGGAAAGGAAAGGATTCTGAGGGTCCTCTCACTTGTAAATAAATGGCCCTCTTGTTTCTAAGCTTCTAACTGAAAAATCATCGTTAGTTACCAGATGGTCGTGCAACCCAATGCATGGAAGAGAAAGGCCACGCCCAGGAGGTGGAGAATCACAAAATACCAAAGCTGCTGTGCTGACGGGCACATGAGGGGCGTCTGCCTGCTGTGGGCTTCAAGGAGCCCAACTTTAAAAAGCACCAGTGTGGCCAGTTCAAGTCATCCTAGAGCTTTTGGAAAAAATAGAAACCATTATCCAGCATTGTGTATTCTTTAACACTTAGACATTCTTCAAAGAAAGAAATATAGTTGAAGTCCCTTTTGCATGCTTACCTGTTCATCTGTCACCATACTTACAAGTAAACACTTTTCATCCATATATATATTTTTATACTTTTGCCACACATATATACATCCCCAAACAATATATAGAATTGCTTAGATTGTCTTTAACCAATATATAAGGAGTTACACTTTCGATTTATTCAGCATTCAATGTTTTGAATTTATGCATTTGAATACTTTAGTCCTGACTCTCCTTTTAGCTGCTGCATTATATTTCACCTTATGAATATGCCACAATGTATTCATTAATTCTTCCCTTTATGGATCTATAGATTATTTCCAGGTTTATTTTTCCTCAGTATAAACTGTACAATCATGTACCTGTCCTAGTTTTTCTCAAATATGTACTTAGGAGGAGAATTATTGATGGTAGGAAATGCTTATCTTCAGCTCTAGGAGGTATTTATAGCCAATCCCGCTGTAAAATCCTGCTGCCTCGCCCCTCATCCTTCCCAACAGTCCTAGATGGCTTTTGCTACAAACAGGAAAACGGCTCCCTGAGAACACAGGCCTTGTTCACGGAGGTCGCAGCTCCACTGCTTCATTCCACCTACACTGCTCCAGAGATATTTACATAGAGTATTTCAAAAATTATGGAAGATGTTGGCTTCATTTTCTGGCAGAATGACTTAAAATGAATGTATCCGTGTCAGTAAGATGTGCTTGGAATATATCTTGAAAGGCAATCAGGGAAATGTGTTACATGAAGCCCCCGAACTGTGAATGATCTTCAAGTTATTAGTAAACATTGGGACTCTGCATTTAGATGTCCCGTATGCAGACCTAGGGTATGGTATATAAATTGCACCTAATTTAAAGTCCTATTTACAGTTGTAGCTTTTTATTTTCTCTCCAACACACCTGTTCTCAGCAACTTTGAGCCTTAAAGAGCAGACATTTGTCTAAGATTTGCTAACATTTCAGTAAGAATATGGCTGCTCTGAATGTAGTGAGGGGTAAACAGCTGTTCCTCTTAGAGAACAGTATAAACAATGCCATCTTCTGGGGCATGTTTGCCCTCAAGTTTTTATTAGCTGTAGAATATTAATCACTATTAAAATGGTTTTTAGCCAGACTGATATTTACCTATTGAGATCCTTCAGTAAACCTTTCAGTTTGATAAATCCACCTTTGGAATGCTGAAGGAGAAGCTGAGTCACCCCCTCCTCCCCACCATCTCACTTGATAGTGAAAGTAACTCATATCCCCAGAGCACTTGCTTTGAAGAGGCTTAGAAACGATGCACGGACAGTGCGGAGGGGAAAGGAGTGATTGAAATCCTGGAATGTCTACATGTTGACATGATGGATCTGAACATCTGCTCTAGACAGCGTTGTGTCTGAGATCTTAAAAAAGGAATGAGGCGCACAGTGCTGAGTTTCAGGTGTCTTTCATCTCCCCTGAAGTCTCCCAAGTCCTTCCCTTTGATGAGCCCGAGGGAGAAAATCATTCATCAGCTGGAGTCTCAACCCTCCAGTAGTCAACAAGCATCCCGTTGGTTTTGGCGATCGTCCTGGGAGGCGTGCAGAGGCGTGGGAGCCGAAGGGGAGACAGATTTTGACAGTATCTGCAGAGAGAGTGGCCCCCTGGAAATGAACACCTTCCTTTCTGTTACCTTTGCCTTTAGAAAGCCAGTCGGTCACTGAGACACGCGGGCCCTCGGGACGTATCGGAGCAAAGTCTACGGGGCCCGCGGAGGCTGCTCTGTTTTGTGTCTCAGTTCTTTCGGCTCATTTCGATTTCACATATCATAATTTGTCGTAATGACTGAAGGATGTAAACTTCTGTCTATCATATCTTCAAAACAGTTCTTAAAAATATTGACGTGTCAGAAAGTTTGTTTTCTTTTTTTTATATTTCTTGTTTAAAATGTTATTTTCTTTTTGCTTCCCCTCCTTCCAGTTTATGGCCAGATATGCTACACCTGTAGGTGTAGGAGATGGGGGGGGGGAATCATGCCCTCATGGAACTAAAAATGATTTGGGAAAATATGATGGAAACACATTAAAAAGTTAAGATAACAAGTTGGCATGTGACCAAGTGCCAAATGGCTTAGATAATAAGCGCAACAGGAGTTTTTAAGTGGGCAAAGATTGCTTCCTCTGGGAAGGAAAACTCGAAGTTGTCTCTGGGGGTGAAGGGATCTGAGTCACCCTGGGCCATGAAGCTTGTTATTCAAGTCAGGTTTGGTCAGGTGTACTCGCCTTCACAGGAAAGCCAAATCTTAGGATAAATAATGAAGGCAGAATTCTACTCCTGCAACAGAGTGGGCGTTTTTATTTAGGCACATGGACTTCAGCTAAACGTCCAGAAAAACTCCCTTGCACCTCTCCCACTACCTGCCCCCCCCCATTATGCCTCAGCATCGAACTTGTCCACCACAATAGTGATCCTTGGCAACCAAACATGTTATCTTCTATCATCCCCCTCCCGCCAACAGGGCAAACCTTGGAGTACCTCTGTGTGAAATGTGTGTTTCTTAGCTGCTACTCTGCCGTGCTATTTACACCTGCTCCTGGTCCTTCCTTGTACACAGCTGCTTTTCATTCGGCTGCTTTTCACTTGCCATTCAAGTCCAATCAGCCAGCACTGCTGTCTGGCAGTCTTCATTGTTAACTGTGTAACGTTTCTGTTCACATACATTTTCCTAACTCTGAGTAGATTCTCAAGAGGAATTTATCAGTTAGTGTGCATCTCTGAGTCTTCAGCATACATGGAAGCTTTCAAGAAATGTTTGATGAATGAATAATGTTACATATGAAAAGGTCCATTTGGGAGTATTTACCCTTATTTACCTTGTAAATCTAGATGTTAATTAGATGGAAAATCCATGGGAATACAATTTAGGATAACATCTTGATAGTTCATTCTTCTAGCCTCATATTTCTCAAATATGTGGCTGTATTTTTTGCAAGTCCACCCACAGAGTATCCATATAATTATATTAGCATAAATCCAGCCATGCTACATCCAGAAACATGTCAAAAAAGGATCATTCTTCTCCACTTATTTCTGGCTCTCTGAAGGAAGTACTGCCTACAACCCCTGAGAAGTCATTTGTGATATACGCCATGTGTCAGAAGAAGCCTGTTTGGAGAGGTTTAATGAAAGGATTTCTGAGCTTACTAGGTATCAGACCTTGGGTATAGAATTTGGTGTCTTTGAGATTCAGTTTCCACACCTGTAAATTTATGAATTGTGATAATTCCTGGCTTAGGTATTTTTACCTAGTGAATAGAATTATACATGTAAAAATATTTTTGTTATACAGACATAGTTATAAATACTAC